TTTTAAGTCTGAAAATATTAGGTATAGGATCTGAATAAATGGAGACAGTACCAATAGGAGGGTCAATTAGTATATAGTATTACTGAATAGTTAAGAGGAATATATATGCATACATAATAACAAAGTTCTAAATACAACAGCCAATGACAAGGCAAGTTGCAGAATACGCACATGTGTTGCAGAACACAACACACATACGTCCCTTCTAAAAGTATAAAGCAGTACTACATATACTCCTTTTCACATACACATGCTCCTGCATTTTCAAATAGCTGAGGGTGCACGACATGACAGTGGCAGCCGCTGGTGAGTAGATACAAGGACTGAATCAGGAGGGAAAAAAGGAGACTTTGTTGTCCAATTTATTTTGTTAAAATCAATGTAAATATGGAAAAATAGAACCCCTGTTTATTGTAGATGATGTCTTACAAGGTGTTAAGTTATATTATTCCCTGTTATTTTCTAAAATTCTTAAATTAAAAAAAATTGAAGTTGAGATAATAGTATCTTTCATTGTTTAGTCTTAAACTTATTTATTGTTTGGGTGTTTTATGATCCTGTTTGTTTTAAGGAAAAGATATATACATAAACATAAGTAAGGCTGAGATAGCTGCTTCCTTCTTTGGCTGATGTTCACAAAACATGTTTGTTTTATTTCACATTCTTTGGTATGAAAGCATGGCCTTTATACAAACTTGTAAGGAGTAAGATACAAGGGTTCACAGTTTTACCACCATCTGTGTTTTAAGAGCTTGCTTCCTATGATAGACATCCCTACTTACCTTGTTGGAGCCAAAATATCCACAAGCAAAGAAGCAAGAGGTCAAAGGTTTTCCTCTTGGTGTGTGATATTTAAGGCTGAAACTGCTGATGTTTATTAGATTGGTCTCCACATGTCTCCTCAGGATTGCTTTCCAAGACTGATGACCAGTCTCTTTTTCACCCCAACTGTGCTTTCTGCATGGAGCAAGCACTGAAATCCTGCTTTGGCAAACACATGGGCACCTCAGCATCTTTTTCTGAGACAGTCTGTTTCTCAAGGTGGTCTTGAACTTCTGAGGCTCAAGCAAATCAAATCACCTGCCTTAGCCTTCCCAGCAGCTGGGACTACAGGTACATACTTCTATGCCCAGCTTCTCAGTCTCCTATAAAAGGAACGTCTTGGCTTAGGTTTGCCACGGCGCAAGAGTCTGTGCCTATACAGAGGTACCAGACACTGTGGCCATTTGTTATTGGGTTGATATTTCAGCAATCCTTTTAAGTATTCTCTGATGACTGCCAAGACTACCTTTGAAAAGTTAACAGAGAAAATTTAACTTAAAACAGAATAAACATTATTAAGTAGAAATTGAGGCTTTTAAATATGCACAGGGAAGCATGAGGTAGAGGAGCTTCCATATTTGCATTCATATAGAGGAGAGCTCTACTGTGTCAAATGTATTCCTAAGGCAGGCAACGAAGGGAGGTTCCCAAAGAAGGAACATGGATCTAAAGTTGGAGCCAGTGTATGTCTCATCTGCACTGTGAACTCTGATGGAGACCTTTAGCTGTTGGTAGAAGCAGTAAGTTTTTCCAAGTCAAGAGTCAGTTATCATCCATTGCTAGTAATTATCAATTATCAATCCAAATCTCTCCAAATGAGTTTATCAACAAGATTTTTGTGTCAATGTTTCTGGCCCTTGCCTCTTGATGGGTACCATACTGAGCGGGTAGGTATTAGTAAATATTCCCCTAACAATTTAATGACCATTAGTATTAAAACCTCAAACTGATAAATTAATATAATCCATGTTTCCAATCAATAAATTATATGTAGAATTTATTCTTTTGGCTGAAGATTTGGCACAAATGGAAGAACACATACTTAGAAAGCATAAGGCTCTGAGTTCAAACCCCAGTACACATGAGCAATTTAAAATTTATCCTTATACCCACAGTTATTCTGTCTCAACAGTCAACTAAGTGTTCACTTACCCTTAGATTTCCTAAGTGTAGTTTAAAAATAAGCATATGCACTTTTTCATAGCATGTTTAAACTCTACAGCTTGAGATAGAACATTAAAATAAACATTTTAGGGACTGGAGGCGCAGTCTGAGTGGTAGAGTACCTGCCTCAAAAGTGCTGAGGCCTAGCATTATACTTAATGGCAAAAAGCTAAAGCCATTTCCTCTAAACTCAGGAACAAGACAAGGATGTCCACTCTCTCTACTCCTCTTCAATTTAGTATTAGAATGCCTAGCTAGAGCAAACATAAAGGGGATCCAAATAGGGAAAGATGAAGTAAAACTCTCCCTTTTTGCAGATGACATGATGTTGTATTTAAAGCACCCCTATGGATTCCACTCCCAAGTTACTCGAGCTGGTCCAAAATTTTGGCAAAGTAGCAGGGAATATCAAAAATCAATGGCTTTCCTGTATGCCGATAGTGAGAAGAGTGCAGCTGAAATCAGGAAAGCAACTCCTTTTGTAATAGCCCCACAAAAAATAAAATACCTAGGAGTTAACTAAAGTGAAGAACCTCTAAGATGAAAACTTTCGAAACTTGAAAGAAGAAATCGAAGCAAAACTAAGGAAATAGAAAAACCTCCCACACTCCTGATTTGGAGGATTAACATCGTGAAAATGGCAATAGTTCCCAAGGCTATCTACAAATTCAATGTGCTACCCATCAATATCCCAACCTCATTCTTCAATGAAATAGAAGAAGCAAGCCCAAAATTCATATGGAACAATAAAAGACCCCAGATAGCAAAAACAATCCTTAGCAGAAAGAACAGTGCTGGAGGAATAGCAATACCAAACTTCAAACTCTACGACAAAGCCATAGTAATTAAAACAATGTGGTACTGCCACAAGAACAGACCTCAGGACCAATGGAATAGAACTGAAGACCCAGAAATGAATCCACAGACCTATACCCACCTAATCTTTGATAAGGGAGCCAAAAAAATAGAATGGAGGAAAGACAGCCTCTTCAGTAAATGGTGCTGGCAAAATTGGTTAAACACCTGTAGAAAACTAAAGCTAAATCCTTACATATCACCCGGTACCAGAATCAACTCCAAATGGATCAAAGACCTCAGAGTCAAAGCAGACACCATGAAAACATTACAGGAAGGAATAGAAGAAACCCTAGGGCTCCTTGGCACAGGCTGAATTTTTCTTAATAAAGACCTAGAACCACGACAAATCAAAGAAATGCTGGACAAATGGGATTGCATGAAACTGCAGTGCTTCTGCATAGCAAAGGACATAGCTAATAAGAAAGCCCAGTAGCTATACAATGGTCAAGGGTCTCATATCTAAAATATACCTGGAACTCAAAAAAATTAAATCCTCCAAAAATATCCTCAAAGAAACAACTGCCCCATTAACAACCAGGCTAAAGACTTAAAGAGAGACTTCTCTGAAGAAGAAATAAGAATGGCCAATAGACATATAAAGAAATGTTTAACTTGTCTGGCCATAAAAGAAATGCAAATCAAAACAAGATTGAGATTCCATCTCACCGCAGTTAGAATGGCTATAATCAAGAAATCTAATAACAGCAGATGCTGGAGGGGATGTGGCCAAAAGGGAACCCTACTGCCTGGTTGGTTGGGAGTGTAAACTTGTTCAACCACTCTGGAAAACAGTATGGAGGTTCCTCAAAAGACTCCACATAGTGCTCCCCTATGATCCAGCAATCCCACTTCTGGGCATTTACCCAAATGATCACAAAGAGGGCCATACTAAAGCTACCAGCACAACTATGTTTATCTCAGTGTTATTCACCATAGCTAAGATATGGAACCAACCCAGATGCCCCTCAGTAGATGAATGAATCAAGAAAATGTGATATATATCTGATATATATATATATATATATATATATATATATATATATATATATGAATTCTATGCTTCCATCAGAAAGAATGACACCACCCCATTTTTTAGGGAATGGAAAGACTTGGAAAAAATTATATTAAGTGAAGTAAGCCAGACCCAAAGAAATATAGGTCCCATGATTTCCCTCATTTGCAATAACTAGTATACGTCTAGGATAATTTTATCAGATGAGCAGAAAAGGCTCAAAAGCTATGTACATATGAACCCCAAGATAGGGACACAAGAGGCCTTTCCTTGTTTTTGTTGTTATTTTAAATGTACTATGTGATTTTTTTTGTTTCCTTTGTATGTTCTTCCCCCTATGGTATATTCCCTGCTGTCGCTGTACTTGATTTTGATACCCTGAATCTTGTATATACATTTGTCTAATATGGGGAGGGGAAGGGGACTAACAAAACGCTGAAACAAGGACACAGGATGACCTATTGCAAAGATGATACCCACAAGACAGTATATTGGAATTCAACTTTACAACTTTGGGTGGGGCAGGGGGGGAAGGTTGGGGAGGGAAAGGATAGTGGGAGAACAACAAGGGAAGGGGTAACAATGCTTGACAAGGTATGTACGCATTCCCTTACTCATGTAACTGTAACCCCTCTGTACAGCATCTTTACAATACATTTTTAAAAAGTGCTAAGGGACTGATTTCAATCCCCAATACCTCAAAAAATAAAATAAAATGCGCATTTTATAATTTTTATACTTTTACATAGTTATAACTAGACACAGAACACATTTAATTTATACATTTAAGAAGGAAAAAAAATCACCTACCCTCACAGAAACCACAACGATTGTCACTGCTGTAACAGAACACTGTTCTGCGTATAGCCATTTGTACATTGGCAGAACACAGCAATTTTAGGGATGAATTCGTATTCTAATCTCTTTGGGATTTCCTTTATATTTGTGGTGGTTTATGACTGACATTTCATGTAACTATAGCTTTCTGCTTATATTTAATAAAAGATTCATTTCTGTGGCAGCACACATTTGCATGCCAATGTTGAATAGAAGCTACTGTTCTGCAAGAATGATATAAAATGCTGATTTATAATGACATAGTCCAATAATAGCAATCTAACTCTTGCAAACTTTTTCTTCCCAGGTCCTGGCAACAGCCTGGCTCCAGCCAAGGACAACTCTTCTCTTCTGGAGTATTCAGCCTTTAACTCATCTGTCCATGCTGCAATTAGACACAGAAACTGGAAACTCCTCACAGGCTCCCCAGGTAGAAGACTTAGCTTAGCCAGCATCACTTCCTGCAGTGGATAGGGAAGGGCTGAGTCCTCTGGGTGCTATCTCTAGTCTGCACTCTTGGAACTTTATCCTCTTGACCACTTTTTAAATGGAAAGGGAAGACCTTAACCTTCTTTTTCTAACCATTCCTGCCTCGTACCTGGTTCCACAAGGCTCTTAAGCTTCACCCTCCTATCATATTGCTCAGACATCTGAAGTGGTAACTAGCCCTGCAAGCATTTTATGATTTATGACCAGATGTGTGTCAATAGAAGACAACTCTAGTCAGGGATTTCTTAGCCTACCCTTAAGGCAGCCTGTTCCATTATTGTCATGGCCCAGGTAGGCTTTCCCACCAGAACATCAAGGAAAGGCTCTACCAAAATGACTGCCTTTGGAAAAATATATTTCTAGGGCGTTTGATTAAGGAGGTAATGAGAAATTATTTCACCAGTGGTCCTGATCCCAAAATAATTGGGAGGGGCAAATTAACTACTATAGTAAAGTGAAAAGAAGAAATGTCACTCAAATGCTTCATGAGAAAATGCTGGTTTCAAGTTATGTATTGCTGTCAAGTACAGCAAATCTAGCTAACCAAGAATGCCTGGGTGATAAACTTTCAACTGGAGAAGGAGGCTACTTCCCTGATTATATTGTCTCAGATCTCTCTCTCTCTCTCTCTCTGTCTCTCTCTCTTCTCTCCGTTTCTCTCCCACCTCCTGTCTCTCCCTCTTCCTCTCCTTAAAGCTTTAGCAAGGATTTATTTTTGTAAACCACGGTTAAATAAGGAGAAATGGAGGAGAAACATTTACTGTTCCCATTAAGAAATGGGAATTTAGAGACTAAAAATGACTATTCTTATCTGTAGTTTTTATATTTTTGAGCTGGGTAATAACAGTGATTTTGCAAGTCTTGATCTTTCTCTGATGGGTTTGGGTTTAGGACTTTGTATCAGAAATCCCCTTCTTTATCTGCTAATCTTGTAAATTGTAAAGGAGGTGTAGTGAGAGCAGAGCTGGTATGCTTTTTTTTTGGTTTACTTCCTCATATTAATTTCAAGTCTGGCCCTGCAAAAGGACATCTTTTCAAAACTTTTGTCAATAGCAGGTATGATGATCAAGGCTGCATATAATTTAGCATTGCTTTGTATGGAGTATTCTTGGCATTTACAGCATAACAATTTTTCATCATTTGAAGTGATGCAAGACATTTTACACCACTATGCCTACTAAATATTAGCATATGGTCACCCCGTTCCTTGTGACAATTGATAATATTCCCTTGGGCACAATATGTACACACACATTCTAGATGTCCCTGGTTGAAAACCAGTAAGACATGTCTTTTGTTGTTGTTGGTGGTGGTCGTGGAGCCTGAACTCCAGGCCTGGGCGCTGTTCCTCAGCTCTTCAACTCAAAACTAGCACTCTACCACTTGAGCCACAGTGCCACTTCCGGCTTTTTCTGTTTATGTGGTGCTGAGAAATCGAATGCAGGGCCTCAAGCATGTAACTCTCCCACTGAGCCACCTTCCCAGCCCTAAGACATGTCTTTTTAAAGCACTGGAAGCCAGAGTCTGGGACAAGTCTAGAGATGGCACCAAGAATCACATCCTTTTTACGTGTCTACATCCGCGAGCCTGCACAGCCTTGTCCCTAGACACTCCCTGAAATTAGAACCTGCTCTAATGCTTGTCTTCCACAATAAACATCTCTGGGGTTTTCTTTGTTTTTTGTTTTTGTTTTAACCAGGCTGTGGTTACTGGTTCCCCCCGCCATCTCAATCTAATAATTTTGAGATAGCTTCATTGGATCCACCAAACAAGACCCTCTGGCTTTTTGATATTGATCGGGACCCAGAAGAAAGACACGACCTGTCCAGAGAAAATCCCCACATCGTGAAGAAGCTCCTTTCTCGCCTGCAGTACTACCAGCAACACTCAGTGCCTGCATACTTCCCTCCACAGGACCTCCGCTGTGATCCCAAGGACACGGGTGTGTGGGGCCCTTGGATGTAGCTGAGGTTAGATTTGGGGGAAGTTGTAACACCTTTCTGTTTAAAGCTCCACTTAGGCCTTGACTCTTGTGGCTGCTCATCTCCTTTATTCTCCTCCCTGGATTCACCTGGTCCTTTTTAAGCTCCCAAATCATACCGAGGAGTCTGACCTCAACTTCTAGTGTATTTCAGAAGCCAATAAAATCTGGAAGGCTCTACTGTTGGCTGAAGTTTGTGTCTGGGGGGCTAGGGCAGCCGGGTTCATTGCTGCTTCATAAGCTGTGGGACAGCTGGGAACTTAACTTGACATAGAAAGTTCCCATTGAGTCCTGGAAGCTGGAACAGCTGGCTCTTTTTGCCTCACAGGTTACACTTTAGATTTCCCACTACCATTAACCAGTTTTATTGGAATGACTCACATTTGTTGTAACAAATGAGGGAGCAGACAGTTGTTCATGGCTCTGTTGGCCAGGGGCTCTTCCTGTCTCTGAGAGATCATGTTCAGGCATTCCAGGTTAATAACCCCTCATCTCCCCCTGCACTCAGCTCATCATGGCATTGTAAGGCCCATTTCATTAAGGTCAACATGGAAATGTGTCTACACCTTGGTTTTGGTGTCTACAATAAAGAAATGTTTTTATCCTACACTTCCCCAGCCATTTCGTATTCAATTTAGACTTCCTGTCATCTCCAGTTCTCCAGTGACTAATTCCTACCATACCTTTTGAGTCCAATGTCCTGGGCCTGAGAAGGCTACTTTCCTGTCCATTGTGAGTACCCTGAGCTATGGAATACCTCTCAGAGCTATCCAGAAAAGGTGGCTTAGTCATTTTGTGGTCCCTGGGGAACAGCAAGAGGATGAGTTGGGGGGGGAGGTAAGTGAGTCTGTTAAATCTGTTCAGGGAGATTCCTTCAAAGTTGCTTGGAGTTCACCAACAGTTTTGGCTGTATTGCCTATTACTTTATGAGCTGCATTGCTGTTTCTGAGCAGGAAAGGAACAGTTTGTCCAGAAATGATGGAAGTGACTATTTGAAGGAGGACATGGCCAGTGTCTGGGTAAAGTAGAGGAAAGCCACTCACATTTCTCTTATTCTGTCTTGTTGCTTATATTGGGATTCTGGGCTTGAGAAAAGAGGATGTCCAGTTTGACCTGCAACCCTTTCTCAGGCTCATTGACCTTCTGCTAATGGGAATTGGTTCAGATTAGCTGCAAAGAGTGACAAACTAAGTAGAGGTACAAAACTCCACTTTTCATTAGCGCCGCTGCTTCATTCATAGCTCATCACCAAGGCCTGTGACAGTACCTGTGACATAGAGTACACGCAAAACAGTATTCCAAATAAACGAATGAGCAACTAAATGAGAAAATCATCAAGGATGCTAGTTCAATGGGCTGAATGGGAGGGAAATATATCTTTCTCCATTGCTGTTCTGTTCTCAAGCTTCCCTGTGAGAGCATAATCTATACACCATGCCATTTCTACTCTTCATTAGATATTAGACATTAAAACCACAAAATAATATTATATAGATCCTTTTTGTATAGCCATCTTTCCATTCAATAGCAATATTTCCTGGTACTATATTAAAATAAGACTCTCGCAAGAAAATAGTACTAGAACTTATGACATCCTTTACTTACCTTTACTCAACCTTTGGGCTGGCAAATAGCTAGCCAAAATGTCACTTCTCACTCTCAAACCTGTGTCAGAGAGTATGAACCACTGAACTTAAATATTCCCTCTGCAGCCTCCTCATTCCAGGTCTATAGTGCCATTAGTATTCTAAGACTTGAGGCTACACTACACTCACACACACTCCCTGTCATACTCCCAACAGCTGTCCCCAACTCCAGATCCTTGTTGTTGCATGTACTGAGGAGGTTCTGCATTGAATGGATTATTAAAAGAGTTTAAAAGCCATTATCTGAATAAGCTTATTAGATTTTTTCCTTTAAAGCAAACATTCATATAGTCATTAGGAGTATTAATGTTACTTCTTTCTAAATTGGTTTCACTTTAAAGGTTGTTTTTTTATAAATTGTAAAGCAGTTCTTTATCACTCCATGCTTGTTCCCTATTTGAGGAACAAAATCAAATAATATCCATAGCTATGGGGCTACTACTTGTAACAGTAACAGAGTTCTGGACCATAACTATGGGGCTACTACTTGTAACAGTAACAGAGTTTGGACCGTGGCTATGGGCTACTACTTGTAACAGTGAGAGTTCTGAATCCACGTAGTGACAGTGGCTGTAGAGCATTGTGAATGCACTTAACACCACGAAACTGTACACTTAGAAACAGTGAAAATAGTCAAGTTAATGTTATGAAGGTTTTTTATCACAGATGTTTTAAATTTGCATGTTTTATGGTATGTGAATTATAATAGTAAAATTGTTATGTAAGTAAATATAGCAAAAGTATTGGTCAAAACAGTTGACCAGACATTGTCCTAAATACCACTACAGCTGAGTGTGGTTCCAGCTACTCAGGTGGCCGAGGTAGAAGAGTCTCAGTAAATCTAGTACAAGCAAAAGTGCATGATCCTATCTGAAAAAAAAAGCAAAAGGACTGGGAGATGTGGTTCAAGTGGTGGTAGAGTATTTTTCTGGCAAGCATGAAGCCCTGAGTAAATCTGTAGTATAGCTGGGGGCAAGTAGGGGATGCTGTATACCATGGTATTGACGAGGTAGGAACAAAAACAAAATAAGAAAGTGTATAATTTTCTATTGCTGTGTAACAAATTGGCTCCCCAAATTTAGCAGCTTAAAAAACACTTACTGTTTCATACATTCTGTGAGGGGAAGGATGTATGGCTTTTCATGAGATATGGTCCAGCACTTACACAGAGCTATAAGTATCTGAAGGTGTGGGTGGACTTGGAGGCCCCCATCTGAGATGACTCACTTGCCAGGCTCTTGGCCAGTAACCTCAGTTCCTTGCATGTGGTCATCACCAGAGACTGCTTCAATGGTCTCACAAAAGTCAGATGAGTTCCACCAGAGCAAGTAATCTGGAGAGAGGTAGCAAGGAGCAGCTACAGGACCTTTTGTCACCTAGTCTTTTGTTGCACACTGTCACTTCCACCTCTTCACTGTTCATTACAAATGTCACTAAATTCAACCCATACTCAAGGGGAGGAGTCTCCAACTTTGTGAAGAGATGGTTACCGTTATAGACATATTTACAGACATATTTCAGTACAATGATCACAGCCTCCTGGTAGAAGAAATCATCTAAGCAAGTCCATATGCACTTATCACATTTTATTTGAAGATAGGTAGTAGAAAAAGGAACCGATTTTGCTACTTAAAGGTAAAATGACCACAGATCTCTTAACCTCTGTGTTCAGTTTTCCCCTTGTAAAGGGATGGGAAGATTTAGATAATCCCTAAAGTCCCATAACCCTGTTTCCATAGTAATGCCTGTCATGGTAGATATTCTTTAAATGCTGGTTGGTTGACTGTACAATGACTGAACTTCAAGGACATGAAATAATATTGTACCAAAAATAGTCTGAGGTAATATGCAATTTTTAAAACATTCAGTTTGGATCTTCACCATCCTTCAAATACCCACATTTTGAGGACTTCTTTCCCAGTTCACAGTGTTGTTGGGAGGCAGTGGAACCTTTAGCATATAGGGCCTAATAGAAAGAAATTAATCACTGGGAGTGTGCCCCCACGGGTTAATTGGAACCCTGGCCCTCCCCACTTTTACTTCCAACATGAGGTGAGGATTTTTTTTTTTCGATCATGGGGCTTGAACTCTGGGCCTCAGCTCTTCAGCTCAAGGCAAGCACTCTACCACTTGAGCCACAGTGCCACTTCAGTGGTTAATTGGAGATAAGAGTCTCATAGACTTTTGCTGCCCAGGCTGGCTTTGAACGGTGATCCTCAGCCTCCTGAGTAGCTAGGATTACAGGCGTGAGCCACTAGTGCCCGGTGAGGTGAGGAATTTTTCTGACCAACTCCCACCATGATGTGCTGGTTACCACAGGACCAAAAGCAATGGGACAACCAACTATGGACTGAAGATTTCTGAACCAGAAGCCAAGGAAAGCTTTGTTTGTATATTTGCTTGTTTTCCCAGTCCTGAGATCCCAGGATCTCCTGTATGTTGGTCAGTTGCTTTACTGCTGAACTATGCCCCCAGCTCAAACCTTTTGTTTTTATACGTTGATTTCCTCAAGTATTTGTTACAGTAACAGGAAGCTGACCAACCCATATTATAATAAAAGTTACTAATTTTTTGAGTGCCTACTGTACTCCAGGCATTGTTCTATGTGCTTTAAATTATCTAATATTTAGGATTATCTTGTCTATTACAAATTTAAGTATAAGCAGAATTAATGCATGGAAAAATGGATTTAATCTTGTGGGATTTTTTGTTTCTGTGTTTTTGTGACAGTCTCACTGTGTACCCCCGGCCAGCCTTGAACTTCCCGCCTCAGCTGCTTGAGTGCTGAGATTACAGAAATATCTCACCAGGTCTGGCTCTCCATTTAACCTTAATAATAAAAGGCTTGCTTGGTTTTCACCTCTTCCATTGTTTTCAATATCCAATCCTTGTCCATAAAGTTACTTAAATGAAGAAAATAAAAAGAATTATTTTGTGTCTTTTCCAGGGAATATCAGAAAAATAACTCCTCTCCATCAAAAGACAAATGGACAAACAAAATATGGCCTATTTGTAATGGAATATTTTTCAGTCATTAAAGGGAATAGAGGTCTAATATATTCTACAATACATATTAACTTTGGAAATACTATTCAAAGCAATAGAAGACAAATACTATATGATTGCACATATAAAACAAGGCAAATTCATATAAACAGTAAATTAGAGGTTGTCAGGGTCTGGGGGGAGCAGTTGAGGGTAGAATAGGAAATTGTTGTCAATAAGTATAGTGATTTGGGAACATTTTTAAAGTTTTGGAATTGGATAATTGTGATAATTACACAGTGTTGTGAATATACTCAAGTCACTGAATTGATTATGGTAGTAAATGCTATGTTCTCTGTGTATCCTTTGTTACAATATAAACACACAAATTTTGGGGGTATCCATTTATTAGAGTCTGGCTAGAAATATATCAATCCACTCACTCATAAGGCATGGAAGACTTGAGTGATGTCAGTGCTAAATGTCAGTGCTTTCTATATAAACACGTTTAGTATTTCTCTCCCAGTATGAACATACCCCATCTCTTGT